TAAAGAGTTAAATAATCCTAGTTTTAGCAGCCTCTTAACTCATACAAAATAAATTCCACCATAGCTCTAACCATCTTCACTGACCTTCTCTGGCCCATGTTAATCTCAACTCTCTTTCCAAAAGTGAGGAAATCGAAAGTGCACACAGTACTCTGGATATATTATAAGCACGTGTAAAAGAAAATACAGAAAATCATGAACTGTTATTTCTAATGCACCCAATATGCTTTCACAATTGCTGAGACACACAGGACTCACAGTTTCATTAAACTATCCACTGAGAGGCCTACCATATTTTCCCACTTAGAAGATCAAGTAGACAAGTTCAGAATCCATCAGTGTATAAGAAATTTAACTAGTGTAGCCAATGTGCACTACTGAAGTTGAATTTAATATATCATGTGACTGTCTCAAAGGTATTTAAATCTTATATCCTGCCATAGGTTTTACTATCCAAACAATGTAATGACATCAGCAAATGCCACCATCTCACCGCCCACTTCCCCCACCCAAACACTAATAAATATATTAATACCAATACCCACCCCTGTGGAACTATTAATCTCTCAAAAGACCAAAGAGCAGTCATTCCCTACATTCTTCTCACTTACTCAGTTTTTAAATCCACCATCAAACCTCATTTCTTAACCAATATTTTCTTTAGCCTTATAAGAGGAGGTTTAAAAAAAAAACCCTACAGAATCAGCTTCATTTATTATTTTATTAATCTTCTTAAATAATTGTATACAGGTTTGACAGCTTTTACAGTGGGGAATTAAAAAGTATCTTACAAAGTCAGTATTGGTTTGACCCTCAGTTAATATTTATTCAAGTCCAGTATCACACTATCCACAATTAGTTTCTCCATCAGCTCCCCTGGAATTTAGGGGGAATTTCCCATTCCATAATTCCCAGGAGCTCTTCTGGCTCTTTTTGTTTGATTGTTTTAATAAAATCAGTTGTAGCACATTACATCTCCTCACCAATATCTCCACCATTTAATGCTTTCTTTCCTTCAGACATCATAGATCTCGTTTTAGTTAGTGATTCACTGCAATGAGTTGCTTAAAAATGCTCCATAACCTTTTCCTTAGGGTATGTCCACACTGCAGCTAGGAGCATGCTTCTCAATGCAGGTAGACAGATACATGCTAGCTCTGTTTGAGCCACTGAGCTATAAATAGCAGTGTTGTCACAGTGGCACGGGCAGCGGCTCAAGCTAGCCAACCAAGTACATAACAAGAGGGTTGGGTAGGTTTGCACTCAGGTGGCTAGGCTGGCCCAAGTGGTCACCCGTTCCATCATGCCCACATTGCTATTAGCTCGAGCAAAGCTCCCATCTACCTGCAGTGTGAAGCCAGCTCCCAACTGCAGTGTAGACATGCCCTTTGAGACTAATCACAGCACCTAGCACAATTGCACCTAGCACAACTGATCTAGATTGGGGCTTCTGGGTCCTTTTGTAATTAAAAAAACAAAACTATCAAGACAACACACTGAGTTCTCAGATTTTGCATCTTAATTTTAGGTGCTCTTTCACACCAACTAGGAGCAGTTCATACTCTGTATTTTTAATTCAAGATCTAGTTCAAAACTAAATAGAAGTATTGTTAATGACACCAAGTCAGACATTTTTCTCTCTCTGTCCATGACATAGTGATAATCAACATGTTGCATTATGTCTATATCAACCTGAAATTGATAGCGGTACATATAGATTGATGTAAAATTAAATAGACATATACAAAGCACACTTTTTCCATTATTGGATCACCATTCTAGATTCAAAACTGCAAAATAATTAAAAAAAAATCGTCAGATGAGGCAAACTTGAGCTTCATCCCCCAAGCCAGAAGTTTGGCTTACAATCATAAAACTATTTTAGTCAAGTTACCAGGACAAATGACACTTCTGCTGATAGCCTTGGCAAAGAAGCCAAGGACTCATTGGCCATGGAGAATGATCTGCCCTTTCACCCCTGGAGATGGTATCCTCCAAGTCAGTCAAGGCACATTGGCAGGACACTGTGGGAGGTTTGGACTGTTGCTTGCACTGAAAACAGAAGAGTTCAGCTGGCAGACAAAGATCTTTCACTCTTTCCAATCAAAGGGGGAAGAATTCGTTGGCAAGACATAAATAGTCTATTTTCTGGTTGGATTATTAGCAGGTTTGTTTATTTTAATTGTGGCAGAGAAAAGCAAAACAGAACAGATTTTCAACTCTACTAATGGGTTTAAACTGCAGATCCAGCTACTTTGGCTCCCCTTGTTATTAATGGAACTTTAAGGTGGGATGTACTGAGCTTTGAGAAGCTTCTTTCAAATCCAGTGTGGGCACACAGAAGTGTATTAGCCAATCTGCTCCCAATTTAAATCCTCTGCTCAACAAAGGTACTTGGTGTTGTTTGAGGTCATGGCACAAACTTAGTAAGCAATAGCCCTCTGTCTCTCTGTTTAAAACCAATATCCCAGAGAGACAAATGTATAAACTGAAGTGGGAAAAACAAGCATAACCCTACAAATCCAGACCTGCCAAATTTCATCACTTTAAAGGGTGATTCCATATAATTTTCAATTAGCTTTAAGACAATTTTTATACCCCAGTCTCTGAACTGCCATCTCCCCCACAAATCAGGATTGTCTAAGCAATACAGAACAGGTCCCACAAGCAACAACTTTAAAAAAGCTCACCATTTTTTTCAAAGGATAAACCCAAATTGCCATCCAAAGTGCCAGTTAGTACCACACAGGGGTCCCAAAGCCGGGGCTCCAGCCCAACCTGAATGTCTACACTGCAATTGTATAGCCCCGCAGCCTGAGCCCCGCTAAGTCCGAATCAGCTGACACAGCCCCACCACCATGTTTTATTACAATGTACACACACTCTAGGAGTCTGTGGCCCTCAAGCCACTAAACACATATATACTCAGGACATGCATGTCCTCAACTTTAAGTATGTGAGTTGTCCTGTTGACAATGGAGCTTCTGACATGCACATCTCTTTGCAGGACTGGGACCTGAGGCCCCAATCCTTCAACAATGCTTTACATAGACACAATAATCTACTGTGCAGAGCTCACTGCATAATCAGGGCCTAAATAAGGGAGGGTACAAACAATCTGGAGGGAGATTTTAAATGTCACATTGAAGCATTCTGTAAAAATCTGCCATTAGTAGAGGAGATGTTTTTAAAAGCAGGCTCAAAATTAATCCATGAGTGAAATCAGTGGCAGTTCTGGAAAGTAGTACAATCACATTTTTTAAAAAGTCACAATGAGAGATGCTAAAAGGAGAATGTATGAGACCTGCAACCTCATCGAGACAGACCTCAGTAGGATAATGAGAAGTTTGTAGAAAACTGGGTGACGGGAGGAGTATTACAGTAACAGGTTGAACATTGAACTCCCTCATATCCTTCACTAGCACTTGAGACAGAGTCTAGATCACAGAAAGTGATCATACGTTTTTTCCGGATCACTGTAACTCTCACAATGGCATAAGAAACGCAAAACAAATAACCACCTTGTAAAAAATTGTTGTCCTGTGTGTTTCAATTAATCATTTAAAAATCTCACTCATTCAAATTATCACAACAAAAAGTCCTTGTCTTAGGCCAACTGCTAGAAACATTCTTTGCAAGCAACAGAACTAATGTCAACTTTATAAACCTGACATGAAGAAAAGCTCTGTATGAGATTGAAAGCTTGTTACTGGACCAACTTCTGTTGGTCAGAGAGAAAGATATTACCTCGCCCACTTCGTCTTTCAACTTTATAAACAACACAGACCTGAAAATAGGCTCCTTCACTGGCAATTAACTGCATTTCAGTTTTTAAAGTATTATTTTTGCAACACCCAAATATGTGCTAGGCATTTTACTAAACAAGAAATTCATCACACACGGATAATATAAAGTAAGATTGACAATTTGGGGTTACAATTAGACATGCAAAAAAATTATAAAAACAATTTAGAAACATCTCTCATTCAAAGTATCATAGCTTATGACAGTTCTGAATTAACTTGTCCCCTTTTCCCGTTATTCAGGTCTCCATCCCATGAATCCAGATCTGACAAGCCTCCTTCATTTAGGGTTAATTCCCTCCTGTACCCACAGCTTTCTGCAGTGTGTTTTAGTGAGACATTTAAAATAAAATAACCTATCATTTTATAAGGCATTTTAAAGCCCCCCGCCCCTTTCCCTTCTTACAATAAAGGATTTTACAGGGTCAATGAGCATTTAAAAAAAAAATCAAATCACAACAGTTAGGTGGCATAAGGAGCCCTAAAAATTTAGCGTAAAGCTCAGAAATTACTCCATTAGAGACCCCTCTGCCAGCAGCAACATGAAAATGCAAGACTGCCTGTATGTCTGTGTGTTAAATAAGAAAACCCAAGCCCTCTCTGATCTTTCACCTATCAGTAAAATGAGCCTCACAAGTCTCTTTCTTTCACCCTAACCTGGGTGAAAGCGTGGGGGAGGGAGATGGGGGGCGGTGCAGAAAGGAGCATGTGGGTGAATGAGTAAAACAAGTAAAAACCGTTACTCACAATCATCTAAGTCATCCTGCAAATCCACAAAATACAAAGGGATCCCTACAAACAAAAACAAAAGAGAGAGACACGGGGGGTTGGTTTCACAAGGCTCTCTGGAGAGACAGGAGACAGAGGAAGAGAGAGGCACGCACGAAGTTACACGGCAGTTTGGCGTTAGTCACCCGCACACCCCAACACACACGCACACCCCCACACGGAGCAAGAAGAGAGGAGCGAGAGCTGCTTACCAGCCATCTTGGAATGGACATGGGGAAAAGAGATGGGGGGGGAGGGGGCAGAGGGCGGAGCTGCCTGCGCTGCCTGACCCCGGCTCAACCCCCACTCCCCCCACTCCCTAGATTTAATAAACAAATGCTGCCCGGGAGTCAGGTGCCCCCCAAGTGCCCAGCTAGCCCCAGGGGACAGGAAAATTACAGCCTTTTAAAAAGTGTGCCCCTGAAGGAAGGGGGGGTAGTCAGGTGACTCGTATGGGCTGTCCAAGATGGCGTCTGGTGTGTGGCGCCTGAGAAGCGGAGGTTACCTGTAAGCAGTGACGGGAGGGGAGGTAGCAGGGGGACCCTGTTGCCTGTGCCCAGGAGGGCTCCTCAGCGGGTGTGCTCAGGGTGGGGGCGATGGTGATGCTGGGCTGCGCCTCTGGTTCTCTTTAAGGCAGCAGCCTCCCTGGCCATGGCTCTGAGGGAGCTGAAAGTTTGCTTGCTGGGGGTAAGTGACCTGCTGGGGGTATCTAGGGTGATAAGGAAGGGGGTGTCTGTTGTATAGGCCCCCCCGGGTGGTCTTGGGGAATGGGGAGGGGGGTTGCCTCATAGAGGGATTCATTTGAAAGGTAAGGGGGGGATTTCTACCATGTGTGATCATGAGAGCCCTTAAAACTGCTTTAAAGCGAAGGTGGTTTGTGACGGTGTTTTTCCTGTGGTGAGACGATATTTTGGTCTCTTTCCAGTGCTCGTGTTGATTTCTGCAGCATCTGTTTGTGTGCTCCACTGAGACGCTCCACAACAGCTAGTAAAGCCTTTCTCTCGAGGAAGAATTTTTGTGGTCTGTGTTTGAGACACAAAATAACACACACTTTTTTGTTTTCAAGGCTCCCCTATTAAAAAATGGTCCTGTGTTGAAACTGCTCTGCTCCCATCCCCCTTATGCGGTCCAAGGCTTTGGTTATTTGAATAATATTTAGCCCTTGTATTTATGTAGTTTGATGTCATTTTCAGGCTTCAAAAGCCCTCTCCAAACACTAGATAATGGGTGAGACTTTAAATCTTGTTTGGAAATATATATATGGCAAAATCTTCATCTGAAAAGATGGAAGTTTTTAAAAAATTTTAGCTCCAAAATTAGTGTTCCCAGTCAAGGGTCCTCCAAACCAAATCCAACTGAAGTCAATTGGAGCTTTTTTCCTGGAGTCACTCTTATGGGGGTTCTGTCTGCTCCTAAACAAATGAAATTTGACAGGTTGGACTATGTATTTCCTGGTTCTAGATAGTCTTGTTCCTTTTTCCTGGAAAGTTGGTATATATTCCCTAATTTTGCTTGCTAAATATGTTATCCTTTGTTTACATCAAACTCTACCTGTGAAATCTTTATGGAGTGGGAAAAGGGGGAATAAGAGAGCAACTAAGAAAATTTTCCCTTCTAAATGTCTCAGCCAGGAAACTTATTTACTTTCAGCTCCCTTTCTCTTCTGTGTAACTTTATGTGACTTGCATTGTTATTTGCTAAACACTAAAATATGTAAGTGATAAGTATTTTTGAATTCCCCTCTCCTCTCCCAAAAGAAGCGAGAACCCTCCAGAGGATTAGCGCAAACTTAAATTGTGTACAAATTAGTGCTGTAGTATATTACATATAGTGCATAATTAGCATCTTATGACTTTAAAAATAAACTTGGTATTTGTGGATAATCTAAGCTCTATACCCAGATGTACAGACGCTCTTTTCTTAACCTGCGTATTATATAATTTTTTAACATTAGCTTTAATAAAATTTTTAAATCCGGGCTGCAAACACTGCAGAAAGCAAGCTTCAATTAAAGCAAGCTTCTTCTTTTATTCATGCATTTCGTAATATTAGGTTTGGTAAACTATCTTTTTCAAAACTGTAAATTTGAGGTCTAGATTATCTGATTCTATCATCTGAAGATTGTGACGTGGTTCAGCTATGTTAACTAAATTGCCATCTGAAACCTGAATCAAGGCATGTGAGCAATCAGATATCTTAATTTAGTTCTGAAAGTAGATGCAACTTGAAGCATGCCTTTTGTTTCTTTCTTTTATTAAGCCCGAGTTGGCATAGTTACTATTCGAAACACACAGACAACCTGGTGTTAAATTTCTAAGGTGTGGCTTAGAACGTGGTTTGTCACCTTAAAATTAGACTTCCTCCTCTCTTGTTCCATGCGGCCGTGAGATTAAAAAAAAGATTAGTTTCAGGTATGTCTCAGAAGATGTTTAAGGACTTTCATTAAATAGGGTGGGACTGAATGACTCAGGCTGAAATGTGTTTTGTAATGCTTGTAATAGTGTGACACCCTTGATCTACTTGTACGTATTAATTACCTTATTCAGCTTCAGATGTACACTTTAACCGTTGAGGTATAAAGCAGCAGCTCTTTCTCGGTCTGTACGAATATCCCTAATTCAAACCAAGCACTTATGCAGACTTTTTAGTGTGGGAGGCATGATGGGAGGGGAGCATACCGAATAATCTGTTTCAAGAGGTGAACATTATAGCTTTTTGTTAAAGTCTTATACAAAGTTATCAAATCTCTTTTATATCTGTTTTGGAATAATGTATCTTTAACAGAGCTATCTCCTATTTTCAATATAAACCTTATTTTATGGACCTTCAGTTTTTCAATTTTGCTGCACTGAAATATTTTGATTACTAAAACCCTGACCCTAAGAGTTGTTCCACTTGGCTGGACCCCCTTTGACTTCAGTGATGCTCTCTATAGGAACTGAGGTCAGTCTTTCCATGAGGAGCTTATTGCGGATTGGGGTCTAAATGTGCCCAACTGTTTTTGATAGTTAAATTCTCACTGGTGTAACTGCTATGTTCTTTTTCAGGACACTGGTGTAGGCAAATCAAGTATTGTGTGGCGATTTGTAGAAGACAGCTTTGACCCTAACATCAACCCAACGATAGGGTAAGACACTAAATAAAATGTATTTGAATTCTAAATAAGATAGAGGAATATATCATTTAATCCCTAAGAGTCCCATATGAAACACATTCTGCATGAAGTAGCAGAAGTTAAATCTATCCAAATTTCATTTCAATGCAAGAAAAACGCATGCTCTGAATGCTGAAGTGGGAGTCGGGAACTCCTGAATTCAGTCTTTGCACTGACGCTGACTTGCTGTGAAGCCTTAGGCCAGTCCTTTGTGGCTTGACCAGCAAAACTGCATGTAGTAAAAGCTGCATGCAAATCACCAGTTACATACATAACCTTCCATTTGTATACACAGCTACATGATTTTGAATACCCCGTCATAACTAATGCACATGGAAATAAGGTCGTTTTAAAAATCCACGCGTTAACTGCCTTACAGTGTCATTGTAATGACCGAGTTTTCTAAATACCCTTAAAGACTAAAATGCTAAGTGCAGTTTCAGTTTTTATGCTGATGGGCAGGTTTAAATTCTTGTCCTGTTTTTGTATTAATAATCTTAACTAAAATATCCTGTTAGGATTTCTGGATTATGAACAAACAAGTGTGTTCTTCTGCTGATGCAAACATCAATATCTGTTTCTCATTCATCAACAGAAGAACATAAATCTGTGTCCACTTTATGTTGAGACACCATTCTTGAACTTCAAAAATAACTGAGTACAGTAACCATCAGGCTGCTCGAGTTTTTAAACAGTAATGTAAAAACAAAGTACATAGATTTTTCTAGGGTGGTTCAAATATTTTTGTCAACTGCATCTTTTTCTCCTTCCCAGCTCTGTTTCTTTAATTAGATTAATATAAAATGCATATTCCCTTAATTAACAAAATGGGGTAAATACAGTAACACTTCCTAATAAAGATCAAAAGTGTTTCCTTCGTTCCTTTGAAATATCTAGTTTTCCTTTTCTATGTTTTAATTATGGTACACAAATTTGGATTAAATACAATCATGCAGTTTAGAAATCCTGTTCTTTTATTAACAAAAGCTATATCATTTTCTGTCATAAAACTTAAGGACTACGAGTTTTTATCTGTTAATTAATCTACCGCAGAGGTTCTTCACATAGGGGTTGTGAGCGCTCTGCCCTTTTTATATTACTAAATGGAGTGGGAGCAGGGAAGTCCCAGCTAGATGTGGGGGCAGGAGGATATGGAAAAGCTGTGTTTGGTATGAAAAAAAGTTGAGAATCATTATCTGCAGCTATATTCATTACGGGTGAGATATTTAAAGGTGTTCAGTGGGAGCACTAGGGGGAGGTGGTGGGGGAAAAAAGACACTTAGTTGGATGAGAAACTGGGGCGAGTGGGAAGACAGAGTCTGGCCGGACAAGGAGACTGGGACTAGATATCCATCATGGGAAGGAAAAGGGGGCTGTAGATCTGACAAGGAGCTATGATGTGGGGGAGAATTAGGAGTGGGGGTGGATTAGGATGTGTAGCCAGTGGGAGAGAAGGAAAAGACAAATTGGACAAGGAGCCAGGAGAGTATAAGAACTGCCTGGGCAAGGAGACTTGGGAGAGGGAGTTAGCGTAAGGGGACAGAACTGGTACTGGCTGTGAGGAGGGGGAGAGATTAGGAGTAGTAGAGGAAGTTAAGACTCGGACAGCAAGCTCAGGCGGGAAAAGCCCATGGACAAAGAGACAGGACTGAGACAGGTTGGAACGTATGGGATGGAAGGGGTCAAACTTGGGCAAAACAGGCAGAAGTATCTGTACCCATGACAGCAAAACGAAGAGAAGAGTCTGTGCTTGCTAGACTACACTCCCCTCCAAAGCCTGTAATGGAATCTCAAATTCCTGAGTCTCACCCTTCCTCTGCTGTCCGCAAATATTTGTGAAACCCAGGGTGAAGTGTCTCTCATCCCCCCCCTTTATGGTCCACATACAGTATGACAATCTACTACTGCTTTCAGTTAGTCTTTTAGCTCAGGTGGTAGAGGTTTGTCCAGTAGCTCAAACAGTTCCAATCTGGCCAATGAACCATGTGGGTGTCAGTATGATGTCACGTGATAGAATTTGTGTTTTTCAGTTTGTTTTTTGAGTGTAATTTCCTAGATTTAAAAACTTAAAAGTTAGGAAATAGAAAATTAAGATTAACTGTGCAACCTAAATTTGGCCCCTTTGTGCATTAAACTACAGTGTATAAATTACTGTCTTTCAAATGATGGATTAAAATGTGTATCCACACACTTTAAATACACACTAACAATCATCAGTTAATGGACATCATATTCATGGTCTTCACACTTTACCTCATTCTTGTTGTGTAGCAGTGTTATAATGTAAGAAAGTGGCAGTGCTTACAATGCCTACAATAGACACTTTCTTTTAACATGCTACTTTCCCTTATCCTTTGCTCAAGTACATAATTAGTTTTGTTTAAATCCACTAAAGTTTGGCTCTCTTACCCTTGTGCTTCGGTATTAACTCGTATTAAGGTCATTGTAACCTTTTGTTCAGCTTGTTTAAAGGAAACTTAAAATCTTGCAGTCTTTGTGCTAGACTCTAGCTAGCTAAATCATCTGAGGTGATGGGAGGTTTTAACCTCCAGGGAGAACTTGAGAGCTTTCTGCTTTCCTTTAAAAACAAATTCATTAAACTTAACTATTATATGCTCCCTGACTGTTGAACTGTGTTGATCTACTCTATAGCTGCTATTAATGTGTAACTGAAATTATGAAGGGCTTATAGTTATAACTTCTATGACCTGACAATACTTAGAGCCCAGGAGGACTCTAAAGCCTGTGTCACTGAATTTTAGTGTCCAATACTGCATCCTGTGCTAAAGACCTTCACCCTTGGGCTTCATTTCTGTAATAGGCTTTGGGCTGGTGGACTCCTAATTTCGGTGGGGCTCTGTGCAGGTGATGAATCCTGTGTAGAGTTCATTGCAGGATCAGGGCCTTGGTTTTCATCTCAAACTTGAAAAATTACACCTTATTTGGCACTTATCAGACTTTTTTTTTTTTTTAAGCTAGTAAGTTCACACAGGCCTTTAGGCCATAGCATACTTCAGCAGGCAACTTCAGTTGCTGTGTGATTGAAGTCCACAAGACATCTTTATGGGGCCCTAGCTCCTATGTTAATTACCTGGTAAATATGCAGTATTTTGAAAGACAAAAACTAATGTAAATAAACTGTTTGAGTTCTCAGACCATGAACAAAATACACATGCCACCAGAAAATAAAAAGTTACGGCACCTTGTACACTTATCTGCAGATCCAAATTCAGTGTAATGTTTCTTTTCCAAGAGTGGATGATATAAGTAACACTTAAAGCAGAGCTGGGAACTGTTTCCCTTATAAAGCAACCATGGTAGGTGTTGGGGTTGTCATCCAACTCCTGTAGGACACCTGTAGAATCCTGGCATTGGGTCATGGCATTTTTTTTTTTAAAGGGTAATCTCTTTTACTTATCTTGAAGCCCCATCATTGCCATCTTCCTGCACAGAAAATTTATATATATTTAGGGAGCTGTGGGGAGGAGGAAGTTTTATGGCCCTTCTTTGAAAGTGGAGGGGATCTGCAGGCTTCAGGGTACACTGATAGGGAGAGGGCTTGGAGGCAGCACACTCCACTGCCTTACTCACCTCCCAAACACCCATTAAATTTTGGTGGGAAGTCGGCATTAACTTATCTGGTCTAAGTGTCTGCTCTGTGGGACTCCCCAGAATGGGGATGGCAGCCAAATTTCCTGTCAACATAAGTCCAGAAAGAGGTAGTTCAGAGGTTCCGTGTGGTATCCTTTCAGTAGCTCCTCTAATATTCATGTGCATTTTCGTGAATTTGTTGTGGTGTTCCTTTGTGGGGGGGAGGTGTGAAGAATGCCGCCACTCATTCCCCAGCTGCCTCTGTGGCAGTGCAAAACCTACATCCCCTCACCTTCAACTGAAAAGTTAAGAGGAAGGAGAGTGCAAATTTACAAGGCTTCTCATTCCCTCTCTGATCCTTGGTACTGTATTCTGTTAGGATGACCTAATTGGTGCATGCATCCTTGTCTGGGTCCTTTGCACAGTAATTAATGTCAAACATTATGTATGATGACATTTATATATAGTAAAAAGCACTTCACTTTTTAAAAAAAGACCTATTTTATGAAAAATTATGATATTTAAGTTAATTGAAGATATTGACCTTTTTATATATAAAAATTTGGAGATATGAACTAGTTTTGCTAGAAATAGATTTTTCTTTGTATATGCATTTTGGTAATGTTACACTAAATCTTTCAGAGCATCTTTTATGACAAAGACTGTGCAGTATCAAAATGAGTTGCATAAATTCCTAATCTGGGATACAGCTGGACAGGAACGAGTAAGTAGAGCTGTTGTTTTCCTCCTTAATTTGTAAAGATTTTTGTGTGATCTAATTCTGTAAATTATGCATGTTAATGTATGTTTTCACACATGATTCTTTCAAAGTACACTGGAGACAAGCCCATGATAACTTATTTCATCTTTCACCTTGGTTATTTGGCTCCCCTAGGGAAATAAATTATTAGAAAATGTAAAGATACCCTATTTATATAACATCTTTATAGTAATGGAAAGGTCTACTGAGACTTCATTTGGAATATTAAGCACAATTTCGAACACTATTATGAGAAGGATATTGACACATTAGAAAAGGTACAACTGAGGAGAATATAGATGAGAGGAGAGCTATAACTGTCAAGAGGGATTAGAAAAAAGCCGGTTATATTCACCAAATGGACAGTGTCTGTCACAAAAACAGACTTTGCAAGGTGGTGTTTTTTGGCAATAGTTTTACTTCACAGAAGCATTTCTATTTGGCTTTGAACATTTCTTTGCAACACCCATCATCCCAGTTCAATTGCACAAGCTAAGGCACTGATTCTGCAAATGTATGCACTTGTGTAGCTTTACTGATATGAGCAGTCCCATTGTCTTCAATATTGTAACTAATCATGGGAATAAAATTATGAGACATTTACGTGTCTGCAGGATTGGGGCCTGGGTGTTTATACACTGCATTTGAAACAATAATATTGGTGGAATAATATGGAATAAGCGGGAAGGTTCTCTCAAGGATTGTAACTGGTTAAAAGATAGGAAACAAAGGGTAGGAATAAAATAGTCAGTTTTCAGAATGGAGAGAGGTAAATAGTGGTGTCACCCAGGAGTCTGTACTGGGCCAAGTTCTATTTAACATATTCATAAATGATCTGGAGAAAGGGGTAAACAGTGAGGTAGCAAAATTTGCAGATGATACAAAACTACTCAAGATAGTTAAGTCCCAGGCAGACTGCGAAGAGCTACGAAAGGATCTCTCAAAGCTGGGTGATTGGGCAACAAAATAGCAGATGAAATTCAATGTTGATAAAAGCAAAGTAATGCACATTGAAAAACACAATCCCAATTATACATATAAAAGGATGGGGTCTAAATTAGCTGTTACCACTCAAGAAAGAGATCTTGGAGTCATTGTGGATAATTCTCTGAAAACATCCACTCAGTGTGCAGCGGCAGTCAAAAAAGCGAACGTAATGTTGGGAAGCATTAAGAAAGGGATAGATAAGACAGAAAATATCATATTGCCTCTCTCTAAATCCATCTTGAATACTGCGTGCAGATGTGGTCACCCCATCTCAAAAAAGATATATTGGGAAAGGCTCAGAAAAGGGCAACAAAAATGATTAGGGGTATGGAATGGCTGCCGTATGAGGAGAGATTAATAAGACTGAGACTTTTCAGCTTGGAAAAGAGACGACTAAGGAGGGTTATGATAGAGGTCTATGAAATCACAGAGAGAGTAAATAAGGAAGTGTTGTTTGCTTCTTCTCCTAACACAAGAACTAGGGGCCACCAAATGAAATTAATAGGCAGCTGGTTTAAAACAAACAAAGGGAAGTATTTCTTCACACAACAAACAGTCAACCTGTGGAACTCCTTGCCAGAGGATGTTGTGAAGGCCAAGACTATAACAGGGTTCAAAAAAGAACTAGATAAATTCATGGAGGATAGGTCCATCAATGACTATTAGCCAAGATGGGCAGGGAGGGTGTCCCTAGCCTCTGTTTGCCAGAAGGTGGGAATGAGCAACAGGGAATGGATCACTTGATGATTACCTGTTCTGTTCATTCCCTCTGGGGCACCTGGCATTGGCCACTGTCGGAAGACAGGACACTGGGCTAGATGGACTTTTGGTCTGACCCAATATGGACGTTCTTATGAACTTTTTTTTTTAATTTTCATTTCTAATCTGATTGTGTTAGAAGCTCATGTCAGAAAGTTTTTCATTTAAAATACAAATTTTAACCTGGCAGTCTTTCCAGAAGGTGGAGAAGAACTTGATGGCTGCTTCTGCAACATACACACCTTTGAGGGGATGCAACAAACTTATTCAAGACTTACAAGCACACAAACTAAAATTAAAAAGGAAGTTGGAGGAAATGTCTTTGTGCTGCATACTAATTACCTTGCTCATGAACTACAGGCAGCAACAACAAAAGCTGCAATTATGTATAAAGTTTTATAAACATGCCTGAAGCTGTTTGGCAAAGGATTTCCATTACGTATTAGTGTTTCATTCTGTTCATTTGAATCACGTTTGAAAGCAATGGGAGAATGTAGTATGCTGAATCCGAAGTAGGGCAATCTATGAGGAACTATACACCTCTATCCCGATATAACACAAATTCGGATATAACGCGGTAAAACAGCACTTGGGGGCGGGGTGTGTGTGTGTGTGCACACTGGCGGATCAAAGCAAGTTCAATATAACGTGGCTTCACCTATAACGCGGTACTTTTTTTGGCTCCCGAGGACAGCGTTGTATCGGGGTAGAGGTGTATCTGTAAATGGCTGACAATTGTTGCTGTCGGCTTGTATGAAGTGAATGTTTCCTCTTTTCTATTCTTATCCCTGGAGTGATGCCCTTTTCTTTTTTCCATGCAAGTTGTTACAACACTTTGTCTAAGTGGAAGAGATGAAGATGTCCTCCCCCCCACCTCTGACTCAGAGCTGCCGATTCTGTAGACTTCTCCCTCCACACCTTGAGGGTGAGGGGTTATTTTGAGGGAGAACATACATCTTGAGACTACAGTGATGGAGGAACAAGATTCTGACACTTCATAAGAAGGTGCCAATGTCACCTTAGTTCCTTCTCCAGACCTCCACTAAAGAGTGCTCCTGACAGCTATTGCTGAATCTACAAGTTCACCTGCATCCATGTAGCCTCATTCTCCCTTCCCCCACCTCCCGCCCCACACAGACAGTATGTTAGAGTTAGGCAGAGTTCCTTTACAAACAATACTTCCACCCTTCCAAGTGATCAGTCAGGGCAATGTGTCTTTTTATATGCTTATATATATTTTAAACTGAAAGTTTTGTTTTAAATGTGAAAGCATTAATGCTTCATAGCAATTCAGTAAAATACAAACTCCCATGTCATAGCACAGGTCACTTACTAATAACCCAATTTATCAGTAGCGGCTTCTGGTGTAAGAGCAAAACTCTCTTGTGCATTAGGGAACGTATGTGATGCCCCCAAACTCTGTTGGCCCAGGAAAGAAAAACTGACAAAGCTCAGGGCTCTTGGTTTTTTCCACTTGCCCATCAATCAAATTGGGTAGCCACTAGAAACCATGGTAAACTCCCTTATCATAACTTTGTGACTTGTAGGGCTCTTTAATCCAACACTTGACTTTATATCAAGTACTGAATGTGGTATTGGATTTTATATCAAGTTTTCAGTGATTCTAATACCACTCTGATGATGATAAACTACACTGTTAATCACTGGTGCATCTTCTCCTTACATATACATACTACCTGTACTTAATTTGGACAATGCTTACAGGCTCAAAAGACTTAGTCTTGTAAGGATTAAAGAGATAGTGATAATGTAATGCATCACAGAACCAGGATTTATTCATACACAAGCATAGTTGCAACATATTTTTTTTTTCTGTTTTGTTTTCCAATACTGGTACTGTTTGTTTTATTTTTGTATTTTTCCCCTTTATAATAATGTTTGTACGGCTGCCAGATAAGATCTAATTTGCATTCACTTTAACACAGCTGGCTATGAACTGTCAAAAAATTAGCGTGGAGAAAATCTTACTGCAGAATCTTTGTACAGCCAAGGAACTTGGTGTGCTTTAAAATGAAGGGTTAAGAACATTGGCTAGGGATGGACCAACTACAGAAAGGACTGATCAAAGCTGCTAGTCAGTTCTATCAGTGAATCTCCTGCCCTGAAACTTCCATGACAGTTTTCTGTTCCTGGGCCGCCTTCAGCAGAAATTGCAAAGTGTGTAGTGACTGTTGTAGTTAGGATAAATTATTGGCTTTCTCAGGTTTACCAAGAACTGCCATCAAACCACTTATGACTTCAGCCATCAGGATTTGAACACAGTGTTAAAACATAGATTCAGTGGTCCATGTGAACCATTGAGTTCCCAACCAGTATCATCTGCTGTTCCCCATATTTTAGTTTTATCATTTGCTGTATTTTAACAATGCACTTCCAAGGTTTATCAGTGAGCAGTTCTTTTTCAGCAGGTTGCACAACTCCTTGTCATAAACACCTTGATTAACAACAGCTTAATTTTTAAGCTAGAACACAATATTTCACCTGATGTAAATTTATTTCCCACAGATCTCCCTCTCCTTTGTCCCTGAATTGCTGTATTTGACAAGGAGGGATAAAAATCAAGGACTTTAGAAATGCAGATTGTCTGCAACGAACATATCTCTGTTGTAAAGCAGTTTCATTCAGAATGGGTGTATTTCCATTGACAGCCAGTTCAAACTTTTTAATCAGATTTAAACAGTAAGTTAGAGGATCACTGACTACTTGTAAAGTATGCCTTAATTGGCATTGTAAGGCACTAAAATATCTCAAGTGTCTGCTTCCATTGTTACAAATAATGGCCTAGTATTTAAAAATGAAAACACACCAGTTGCTGTCAAGATATTTTTCCTTCTTCTTTCTTTCCTTCACCCCACTCTCTACTTCAATTATTCATTCTAGAACTGTATTTCCAATAAGTTCTGATGTCTTGGAACCCAAATGCAGAAAACGTTAATTTAGTGTGGTGTTGACTAGCCGGCATTTCCTCTCCCCCAGTCCATATTTATTTACTCCGTTTCTCTTGGTGACATAGTTTCCATTCCTGTATTCATGCTGATGGAAGCTTTCATTTTGGATTACATCTCACTTAAATGTAACACTTCATTTGGGGCACTTCTGCTCAAGTGCCAGAAGTAACTATTTCTCTTTCATTGACTAAAGTTAGTATGAAACTGCCTTCAACCACTATCTGAATTTTGTCTGTTATCAATGCTGCCAAATTCTTGTGTTATACTGACTCTCACTGGTAATTCTGTGCCAAAGCTCAAATCAGAGTTGGGCTGCAGTGCAAGAAAGCTGAACTCTTTGAACAGACAGCTGAAAGAAAATGTAGTTCTGGAAACATCTGTTTTGTTAAAGGGAAATTTTTTTTTTTAACTGCTGACATTCCTAGGTGAGACAAGAAATCAAAATGTTAGCAGGCAGGAAATTAGTAATACAAGATCAGCAAGTGAAAGCTGGATTTTTCCCAAGATAAATAGACATCAAAAAGCCAGGTAGTTAAATAGTCTGAGTAGTAGTTTATCAAAAATGTTTCCCTTTACATTCTAAGTACTTATGGGGGGAGGGGGTATATTACACCATTCTTGGATGAGTTGTGTGCATCCCACATTTCCTCTTTGCCACCTCTCAAACATTTATTTTCATTCTGTGCACTTTGTGTAAAGGCTTATTCTCAAAAGAAGAATTTTGTGAGCCAAATCTAAATGGGCAGGAATTTTGTTTTATAACAAAGGAGATTTTTAGGATGTATAGAACTGCTCTCAGCTGAACTATATTAACCAAAAGGAAACTAGTATTTTATTATAACCAAATAAGGCTTTGTGAAAAGCTACATTGTCTTCATGATTTTTATATCTATAGATTTCTTATTGAGTAGTAAATAGTGTATATAAAGCCATACATCAAAACACTGCATCTGTCAGTTAATTATTCTGTTCTTCCACTGACACTTCAGAGTGCTAGATGAGTTGTTTGTTTTCTTACCTTAGCAGAATTTCTGAACACTGCATCTAAAACAGTAGTTATTTTATAGTGCCAAGCATATGTTAAACCATTGCAATTTCTTATGGAGTCAAAAAGCAAGTAGCATTCATGCAAGGATAGTGGCCTGATCTACGTACTGCAGGCTCATTCAGATTTGTAGCAATTGTCACTGTTGCCAAGTCCTGAGATTTCCTGTAAGTCTTATGATATTTGGCGTGTTTCCTAAATCCTTTGCTTCAGGGGTCAGGTGATTGTGAGACTCTCTCAGCTTTTATTTTTTCTTAATTTCCCCTCCCTCCCCCCAACTCTTTTGGTTCAAGGGGAAAAGCTTGAAAACATTAATCCTAAATACCAGACGGTAAATAAAAAGAACACAACGTTGTTTTTTGGGTTTTTTTAATCTCACTTTTAAGCCATTCTCAGGATGTTTTTGGATTGGTAATAATGTACACTGGTTCTTTTTATTTTTCCTTCTGTGGACATGAGTATCTCAAAAAGGAAGAAATGTATTCAATTCACCCCACCCTTCCTCTCCCTCAGTGTTCAAAAGTAGGCATATATCCTGTGTGTATTGTCTATATCTGTATAGCTACAGATCTTTTTTTAATGAGGGTAGCCCATCCCCTACCTCACATAACTACTATCGGGCTTCCTTCTATAATTTGGCCTTTGCAACCTGCCTCTTCTGAGGACTATGAACTAGAGACTGAGATAACATGAAGTCCAAGAATTTTGCTTCATGCCTTTGACATTCTGTATTGCTCCTGTCCCTTATATCCTTTCTTTTAATCCTCTCTATCACAAAAGATTAGTCATTGCTAGAAGATTCAGCAGTATACTCTACCTTCAATAGAAGCAGCCCTCTTCTTACTAGTACTAGATTCCTGCTATCCCTGAAGCTGAGGCTTGGAACAGAAACTTTTCCCCTTGGAGCATCATTCCACATCTAAATGAGCTTGTACAGACTGCCTGAATAGTAACCAGAAAACTGAGTTCTTTAACACTGAGTGGTCTTGGAGGAACAGAGTGGTTTACAAGTTTAAATTATAGTTCTACTCTGTCTTCTTTTGGGAGTTAAACCGCTTCTTTAGTAGCTTTAATCTGGATAAACTCAAGTTTTGTTTGTCATCATATGGCTTTATTATAGTCCATTGTATTATAGTAATCTTGCACTACTAGCACCCAAAAATGTTCACTGGCTAGCCTTCGGCTAAGATTGCTTCATGTGAAGCTTTTATATCCTACTGGCAGTCTCTTTGTAAATTTAAGGATACATTTTCCACAAACCTAAACTCTTTTCCTATACTAGAGCAGTGAAAATTGGATTAACTGGTCAATGAGCCACGTGATCTTTGGCACAGCATTAAATCCATTTTATATGATGTTTCTCCCTACAGTTCCGTGCTTTAGCACCAATGTACTACCGAGGCTCAGCAGCAGCTATTATAGTTTATGACATCACAAAAGAGGTAAGAGGAGATGGTTTGCAATATAGTTCTACAAACACTCATGTATGTTTTATTTGGCCAGTTCTGAACCTTAATTCTGTCTCCCTTCTCCATACCAGGAAACCTTCTCAACATTAAAGAACTGGGTGAAAGAACTTCGACAACATGGACCTCCAAACATTGTTGTAGCTATTGCGGGAAATAAGTGTGACCTTAATGATGTAAGGTAAATTGATGTCAGTTCAGTGCAGGTATAAGTTCAGATACAAGGTGATGGTACTAAATATTTGTTAGGAAGATTAAGGGATTTACCAAGCCATGAAAGATGTATAGTAATTAAAAAATGCAAGTCTTTTTTTAAAAACTAGTACAAGATGTCATGCCCATTTTAGAAAGGCTTATTTAGAAAGGCTTGCGATGTCTGCAACACTTATTGGCAAATGTTGATCCTTCTGGGAAAGTTTAAGTGGGTTTTTGCTGACTTGCTGATTCAGGTACCTTGTTACCCCAACCAATATAAAAGAGGGTGGGAACTGCTTTGGGGAAAGTGGATCTAGAACATGGGCTGAAGTCCTGAGGAAGGAATTCTAGAGGCGACCAAGTCTTGGAAAAGGTTTGAACTCAACTTCTTTATTACTGATGTCTGGTTAATGAAGCCAAGCCCCTAAATGAATGAGTTTGGATTCTACATAGTGTGTGGACTCTTTTCAGAGCAGGTTGGGAAAGGCACCTGCTCACACGCTTCTCCTTTGTTTATATTTTACTGCCACAGCTGGCATCTCAGCTAAAACAGGCAGATATGGTTTTTAAAGAGCCATTGCAAAGTTTGTTGACATTGATCCCAAGGGGGATAGGACTGCAAAATTCAGTCACTGGTATTTTAAAAAATACTAACATTTCAGTTACCTAACAAACACCAATATAAATCTTTAAGAAACATTGTTTATATTCTCCAAGAATGAATTGATATGAAGTAAATGACTAAAAGCTAAATATTTGTAAGTCAAATACTGCATGCTTCGTAGTGGTCCTTGGTGTTGGTGAAGCCAAACCTAGTTCTGTCCCTCCTGATGGTTTGGGGCCTGATAACACCATAAGTTGTGCACACGCTATTCCCCATTGAAACTAATGAGTGACAGGGTTCCTGAACTTTAATCAGTATAATACTTAAAATGCTGATGGTTTTGTATGACTTTTGGCAGTCTGACTTAGGACTTTGCTGCCATATGCAGTGTACATGCTACTCTAGAAATTTCAATTTTATTGACTAGAATTATAATTTTAAGATAGAAACTATTTAAACCTACATGTGATACTCCTGGGGGAATTCTGCACCAATAAATAGAAATTCTGCACACACTGTTTTAAAATTCTGCATATTTTATTTGTCAAAATAACACAATATAATCATACCAGTTTCAATTATTTTTGGTCATTTATTTCAGAATACCTGTCAGCAAGTATGTCTATAACAATACAGACAACAACAAAAATTCAAGAAATGTTTTTGACATATAGATTCCTTACTAGGCATCTTAATACAGAGCTCTGAGTAATAATTCATTTAAACTACAATACAGAACGGTATTGCACCCCTCAGAAGCAGTGCAGAGGCTTGTGAGAGTCGGGGTAATGGAAGAGCTCAGGGAGAGGGAAGTAAATTGCTGTGAAGGAGCCTGGGTGTGAACTTGGAGGATTGTTGGTTATGGGTGGGAAAAGTATGGAACGGGTATTTTTGGGGGGGCAGAGCGGGATTGTTAGGGAGCTTCCCCCATGCAAACATTGGCTGACCCCTAGCCTCTCCCATTCAGTCAGGCACATCTATCCCTGTCCCCATGTATCCCTGCACCCCCATGTGGCCCTGCACCCCTCCTCCTGTCTCCATGTGACTCTGCCCCCCCCCACCCAGCCACTCTCCTGTCCCTGTGTAGCTCTGCTCCCCTCCCCAATCACAATGTGGCCCTGCACCTCTCTCCCCCCTGTGGCCCTGTGCCTCCACTTCCATTCAGCCCCTGCCCCAGTCTGTCCTCCCCCACTAACCCTTATGAGCCCCTGTCTAATCCCTTCCCTCCCCACACACCCCTGGCCAGCACCCCACACTGTCTGACTCCCCATAGCACTGGCCTGGCCTGGCAGGTACTGCGAAGAAGGCAGGTTCTTTCTCTTTGCTAGCTGGCTGGGAGCTTCTGCTGTTTCTGCACCATAGCACCCTCTGGTGGGCAAAAGGTGGAACTGCAGCAACATTTCAGCAGAAGCTTTTTTTCTGCACAAAAAAATTAAAATATGCACGGCTCATTAATTATGCACGCATGCAGTAGGACAGAATTCCCCCAGGAGTAATGTGAAATAGCATTGTGACTTAAGGCATTTTAGCACTTACTGCCAGTCACACTGTAACTAAAGTTGCAGAACAATTTCCATTATATTTGCACTTGTTTTAATTCCATTCTTGGCTGAAATTCTGCCCTAAGGGGAAGTATTCTCTTAAAGCCTCGGGTAGTGTTGTTTTTTTGTTGGGTGGCTGGGTGGGTGTGTTTTGCTGGGGCAGGAGCGTGACTATAGTGCACTGTATTTTATAAAACACAGACAACTTGGAAACCGTTGAATATGAAACTTGAAACGTAGAGTCCTTTGTGAGAAACATGTCCTTGACCAGTTTTGGAGAAAAAAATTGTTAGAAATCAATAAGGTGTTTTGATGTGTTTGAAAATTGTACTGGGTATTGACAATTGACTATTTCACTGAGTCTGAGAGTTTGCATTGCTTTCAGGAGGTTGAGAGCATGCATGTTTCCCTGAAATGTGCACTTCTCAATGCATATTAACAACTGCTGACTAGAGCCTGACTAGGCAAGACAGCATGCACACTGAATATAAAGACAACTGAATGCAAAAATAATACAGTAATGTGGCATCAATAGTTCTTCTTTGAGTGCTTGCTCATGTCGATTCCATTCTAGGTGTACATGCGCGGCCATCAGAGATTTTTGCCTTAGCGGTATCCGTAGGGTCGGCAGTGGCGTCCCCTCGAGTGCTGCACTCATGTGTCAGTATATCAGTCACCGCCAGCCCTACACCTTCTCAGTTCCTTCTTACCGCCCATGGTGGTTAGTCGGAGCACCTTTCTTGCATAGCAAGGGCTAGCGGTTTCGTCTCTACTGACTTTAAGCCTTAGGACCTTGTAAATAGTTTGTTTATAGTAGTTAGCGTTAAGTAGTTAAGTGTAGTTAATAGTTAAAATTATAGTCCCAGCGGGGACTTTGCCCCAGGCGATCATGCCCTGGTCTCCCGGGTTTAAGCGCTGCATGGACTGTAACAGGCCTATGCCTGTAAGTGACCCCCATAGCAGCTGCCTCAAGTGCTTGGCGGAATCACACGTGCCGTATTTGTAAAAACTTTCGGCCCAGGACTTGGAGCAGGATATTTGTTTGCGAGCTCTCATCATGGAGTCTGCCTTTTGTCTGGCTTCCGAGCCGTCCCGCCAAGACTCACCAAGTACCTTGGCCTCAGTGCACCCCCAGCACCCGGCTCCGCCCGGCACTGCTCCCCGTTGTCGGTGCCCAAAAAGAAAGCAAGGAAGTACGGCTCCCTGGCACCAAGCAAGAGTCATCAGGCAAGAGACCCAATTCGGGCCGCCTGGCCACTCCAGAGCCATGTATACATGCCTCCCCGGTTGGGGCTCTTAGCCCGTTAAAAGGTCCACCACCAACTCCTGGGAGTGGTATGGGACCCAAACCCCTGACTGCACCGATGCCTTCCCAAGCTCCCCCAGCGCTGAGAGAACGGAGGCCTCCACCCACGCCACCGACACAGCACGTGCCACAGGAAATGGGAAAGGCTCCCCATGAGGGCAAGCCAGCCACTAAGAACCTTCAGGGGGCAGTAGAATGCCACTGATAACCCCCCCACCACCACCCGAGACAAGCCAGCGTCTCCACCTCTGGAGATTGGTGAAGTTGCATCTCAGATCCTCTGGGGCTCGCTCTTGGTCACCAGCACCGCGATCGTGGTCCCCGCCGTCTCACCACAGATTGCCTAAAGGGAGGCAACGGTCTCCGTACTACCAGCACTGTTGGCCCTCCCGTCAGTCGTCATCTTGGCACAGATTTTGCTCTCCTGCCCCGTGGGAGCACTCCCTGTCGCATCTCCAGTCCCACCAGTACTGGGCCAATCGATACTGGCACCGATCCTCTTATTCTGGGCACCAGTCAGCGACTGTCAGCAGGCAGACTCAGGCGGCTGAATTCCTCCAGCATGGAAGGGCAGTTCAGCCCCTCACCCAGACTCCACCTGCGCAATAGGGCACCTGGGGCCATGTTGACCTCAATGGCACCGTCTTGGCAGCATGGCCAGTGGCCAGTACAGTGGCCTTATTGGAGCACATGGGGAGTGCTGGTCATGGCAATACCCCCTTTGCACCACTCATCTGCCACCACCTCAGAGCATCAGTTAGCAGCACCAATGGCACTGGGCTGGGTGCATGAGGCACGCTAGGAGGTCGAAGCAGAGGAGACTGCACCCACCCCTAAACCTCCCTCCCCCACAGAAGATGATGCCCCCGGGCCTCCCCTGGTGGTACAGTCATCGTCTTCATTCCTGGACGAGGCGGTTGCGGAACCCTCAAGGGCCAGCCCACCAGATGATTTTAAAGAACACCAGGCCCTGCTTTGACGGGTGGCCGAGAACTTGGGCCTAGAGGTGGAGGAGATGGCCGAGCAGGCAGACACCTTGTTCGACGTCCTCTCGGCCTCTACCCGTGTCGCACTAGCAGTCCTCAAAATTCCGAAGGCCCTCTGGCAAATACCATCATCTATCCCTCCCACCTGCAGAAGGGCCAAAAAGAAGTACTTTGTCCCAGCCAAAGGATTTAAATATCTTTATACCCACCCTCCCCCGGGCTCACTAGTTGTCTCTGCAGCCAATGAAAAAGACAAGCAGGGGCTCACCAGCTCAACTCTCAAAAACACAGAAGACAAAAGACTGGACTTGTTTGGGAGGGAAATTTATTCAACTGCCAGCCTGCAATTCCAGGTGGCAAAACATCAGGCCCTCCTAGGCAGATACAATTTTAACTTATGGGACTCCCTCCATAAGTTCAAGGAGTACCTCCCGCAGGGTTTAGCCCAAGAATTCGGTGCTGGGAGGAGGAGGGCGCCATGGCGGCTAAGTGCTCCCTCCAAAAGGCGTAGGACATGGCTGACTTGGCAGCTAGGTGGCTGCTTCGGCAGTGGTTATGGGGTGCAGCTTGTGGCTTCAGACCACCGGCCTCTCCCAAGAGATGCAGACCTCGATCCAGGACCTCCCATTCAATGGGAACGGTCTTTTTTCAGAGCAGATGGATGCGAGGCTGCATGGATTAAGACACTCGGGCCACCCTTCACTCGCTGGGCATGCATAAGCCCTAGTCTTCCCAGGAACAGTTCTGGCTGCCCTTGCCGCCAAGGCCTTGGCAGCGTTGTCGGGGCCTGCAAGGGGAAGGGATAGGGACATAAGTTACAACCGTCGCCACCCTTCCTCCTCCCACTCACCTGAGCAGCCCAGCCTGGGGGCCAGAAGCACTATTTTGAGGGTGCGCTCGAGAGCGGCTTCCCCTCTCAGCTATACTCCCCTGCCCCTCCTTCCCCCGCCAGTCAACTCCCAGGATCCACCCTGTTCTTTCCTTGACTGTCTTCGTTCCTACCGCTCTGCCTGGGTGTGGGTCATCTCGGGCTGCTGGGTGCTGGACAGAGTGTCACAAGGCTACACCCTGCAGTTTTCGGCCACCCCTCCCTCCCATTCTCCCACCCTTTTTCCTCTTCCTCTTCACAGACCCTTCTCATGAGCAACTCCTCATTCAAGAGGTCAAGAACCTCCTGTGCCTAGGGGCAGTGCAGGAGGTCCCTTGGGACATGACAGGAAAGGGGTTCTACTCCCATTATTTCCTAATCCCGAAAGCAAAAGGGGGCCTCAGACCATTCTGGACCTGTGACGCTTCAACAAGTTTCTCAAGAAGTTGAAGTTTCGCATGGTCTCCGTGGCCTCCATCATCCCCTCCCTGGATCCGGGAGACTGGTACGCCACCCTTGACTTGAAGGAGGAATATGGAAATAAGCGAAGGTCAGACATTTCCTCCATTTCATTGTGGGCGGATGCCATTTCCAATTCACGGCGCTCCCCTTTGGCCTCTGATTGGCCCCAAGGGTCTTCACAAAATGTATGCCACCAGTAGCCATTTACCTGAGACATTGAGGGGTCCAGATCTTCCCGTATCTCGACGATTGGCTCATCAAGGGCAGGTCTCGGGAACAAGTACAGAGAAACCTCTATCTAGTGCGTTCCACCTGCCACAACCTGGGCCTATTGGTAAACAAGAAAAAATCCACCTTAAGGCCAGTCCAATGAATAGAGTTAATTGTGGTGGTGCTCGACTCCACGCGAGCCAGAGCCTTCCTTCCGGAGTCGTGTTTTCAGGCCATGCCAGACCTGATCTCCTATGTGAAGAACAGCCCGTTCACCATGGCTCACACCTGCCTGTGGTTGTTGAGCCACATGCTGCCTGTACATACGTGGTCAGTCATGCCCAGCTCCATCTCTGGTCTCTGCAAGTATGGCTGGCATTAGTTTACATTCCCAACAGGCACAACCTAGACCGAATAGTCAGGGTGCCAGATCACATCCTATCGTCCCTGGATTGGTGGATGAACCCCGGGTCGGTGTTGCAGGGAGTTCCCATTGCAGTCCCAGCCCTGTTGCTGACCCTGATCTCTGATGCTTCGGACCTGGACTGGGGAGCTCACCTGGGCAAGCTCAGCACGCAAGGCTGCCGGCTGCGAGACGATCTGGCCCTCCATATCAATGTCAGGGAGCTCAAAGCGGCTTGCTTGGCCTGCCAGGCTTTCTTACCCCACCTGAGGGGCAAGGTGGTGCAGGTCCTCACTAACAATACTGCCGCGATGTATTACATCAACAGGCAGGGCAGATCCAGGTTGTTGACCCTTTCCCAAGAAGCTATCCACCTTTGGGACTTTTGTGTGCAGCATGCCATTCATCTGGTAGCCACACAGCTGCCCGGGACTAGGAACTAGTGGTCGCTCCATCCGAAGGAACCGAGAGGACGTAGGGCCGGCGGCACCTGATATACTGACCCGTGAGCGTGGCACTTAAGGGGGCACCACTGCCGACCCTACGGATACCGCTAAGGCAAAAATCTCTGACGACCGCATATGTGGACACGACACACTTAGAATGGAATGGACATGAGCAACACATCTCGAAGAACAACAGTTACGAAAAGGTAAGTACCGTTTTTTCCTAGTTAACTTTAGTTTCTTGACCCCTCAAAGCAAAATTAATTTGTATGTATTTTCTACTCACATTTACAATAAATGTGAAGCTTGACATTAGTGTTAAATATCTACCATAAAATATATAGGGTGTGCCATGTAGTATGGCTCAGATGCCTGTGGGAACCTTTTCATTTCCTGTCTCTTTTGTCTGTACAATCTGAACGTTTTAAACTCTGCTTGTACAGAACATTGCTGTGATGCAGAATATTAGGGTTTGTAAACAAAGTCTGGATTCCTACTGAATGAGATGGATATTAGAAATAACATGTTTTTTTCCGATAATTTGAGCTGTTTTTATGTGAATAAAGCCCTCCCTTCCCCCTCGGCTGACTTCAGAGCTGCATTCTGGCACTCTTAAGAAATCACATCCATATTTTCCAGAGAGGAAAATGGTAGGTGGCTGTTGAATTTATATGATGGTGCTGTCCAAATACTGTTGTTCAGGCCACACTATGTCCAGTTCTTGGGGTTACATAAAAGAAGAGCTGAGGATAGAAATTGAACTCTCCATGAGGAATGGGATGCCAAACAGTTGACACTAAATCACTTTTTGAAATTACTGTTAAGTAGCGAGCCAATTTTTCTAAAATTGGGATAATTAATGTTTCTGCTTTGTTCACAATGTTTTCTTTTCTTTTTTAGAGAAGTCATGGAAAAAGACGCTAAAGACTATGCAGATTCCATCCATGCCATATTTGTAGAGACCAGTGCTAAAAATGCAATTAACATAAATGAACTCTTTATAGAAATTAGTAAGTACTTCTTTAGTTAACACTTTTTTTCTCTGAAGGAAGCCTAAGCAGAAACTTGACTACTGCATTAGTTTGTAGCTCTAGTTTGCTGAGAGTACATTGGGTTCATATTTGTCACCACTGGTAGGGATACAAGACTGCAAGATGATCTGCTGTTTTCTGGTCTTCTTATGACCTCTAAAAGCTTCTGCCTAGAGATTCTAAACCTACTATGATGATCCATATCACTGGATAAATAGCAAGCAGGTCACTGTCATAAAAGTCAGTGTCATCTTACCCTATCGGTTGGTGAATGTTTCAATTAGTAGTTCAAGGTCACTGAAGGGTGAGGGAAAGAAATGCACGAGGGATACCAAAACCTTCACAAATACAGAAGGGGAAATAGTATTTCCAATCAGAGTACTGTGTTTAGATTTGATTAGGGGAATGTATTATCCAAAGCATCATTGGCTAATGGGGAGAGTAATTTTGTAATTATCACACAACAGTTACTAAATGTGATTTAAAACAAAGCATTTTTGTGAGGATTCCCTTTAGGAAATTTGATAACCCTGTCCCTCAATTAGACCACAAATAATTTTTTTCTACATTATTCCAAATTGACTTTTACATGGAAGAAATGCAAACTGTACCCACAAGGGAGTACAGTGCAGTACTGCACTCTTATAGTGAGGATTTGAGTTGTAATTCAGATGGCTATAATAAATACTGGACACTTATGTGCAAATATCTCTCAGCTTTTGTCTTTTGAGTCAAGTAAACAATATAAAATTAGAGGCAATCCTTGCATAAACACATCAGAGTTGTCAAATGATTGTGAAGCTATTTAATGTTTTTTACTTTAAACTAAAACAAATTTAAAGACTCATGGAAGTAATTAAATATTTTGTTTACTACTGACTTTAACTACAACTTCGATTCTTTTATAACTATTTAAGGAAATCAGGAAGCTATTTTTCTTATGCATTTAGTTGATTTTGAATAAATGTTGATGCTTGAAAAATGCCAAACCAGATCATGTTTAAGCATTAAGCTTAGGGATGTAGGGTGAGATCTGATGCACTACTCTGGCACTTTTACACAGAGAAAAGAGACCAGAGCAGGCATGAGGAGTCGTAAAAGCCCCATAGCTATTCAGGAAAGAAGGGAACCTGCCCTTACAAGGGGCTCCCTCCAAAGTCCAATCCATTGGATTAAACGCTTTTTGCAAATATCAGATGCTCTGTAAAAGTAGTTTCAATAATTAATGTAACTCTTGCTAAAACTTTTTTTTTTTTTTTTTTCCCCCTCTCTTTATAGGTCGTAGAATTCCATCAACTGACACCAACCCCCCATCTAGCGGTAAGGGCTTCAAACTTAGAAGACAGCCTTCAGTGACAAAACGCAGCTGTTGTTGACTGATACTTTAGAAAATCAGACTTGTTTTGAAAGTAGGTGGTCTTGGAAGCTAATAGTTTATGTTGGGTATATATTATTGGTCTTAGAACTTATCTGCCTGATGTTCATACTTCAAGGTCCCACAAAAATGGACCAGCTCATCTGACATCTGTATGCTCACAGAAGAGACTGCAGTCATGATAATGTCAGCCTGTTTACTTACAACATATATAGTGTCTCTTGTATTCAAAGGGAATCCATCATCAGTTCTTTGGCCTTGCGTGAAAGGAATGTTGACATATGGATGGTAGGACTGAAATGTTTAATAGTTTTGTAATCAACATTATATGTAATGTTTTTTGTAAAAGGGAAATGAGCACTTTTGTGATCCAGAGGGATGAGGAAGGGGGAAGAAACAGCCCTGTTGAAATAGTGACTTTAATTTTAAGGCTATTCTGCTACCCTTTCAATTGTTATAATGAGCATTATTTTAAATATAATTGTAGCTAATCCAAAGTACAGTGAGGCAATTGGTTGTAGATGGCTACAAAATAAGTTACTGATAAAAATGAGCAAATCAGCCCAGCCAGTCCCCAGATCCCACTTGCACTTTTTATTTAAAGGTATTATGAACAAACAAGCAATGAATTTTAAACCATAGACAATCTTACCTTTTCATGCTGGCTTAATCATTTAAAGGCAAACTGATACATTTATAAGCACCTATTTGTTTTTAGTAAGCATTTTTACTATTAAAGATGGTGGTCGAAGAGAACCTAGCTAAAACTCTTTCTAAATTTAAACTTGAGCATGACTGACTGACAACAGGTGCCGTCAATAGTTCTAGTAAGACTTTAATATTTTGAGGGAAAGCTCTTTATTGCTTTGCATGTGTAAAGTGTTTGTACTATATTTATGAGACCAATGCCTAAAGTATTATAAATTATGTAAAAGCAGTTGAGAAATCAGCTTTCTTCAGTCTTTCCATTCCTCACCCATTGATAGAATCTCTGGGGATCTCCAACAATTCTGTCCCTGCTTGTGAGGTCTTACATTGCAATCAGTGACCTCTTCCAGAAGAAGGTTGGCTGATGCTCCCCTCCTATCACATCTGCATTTCTGCTTGAAATGTTTGGTAGATGTCGCTGTTGGTGAAGCATGTGGCTTGTCCATTGAGCAGATCACCTCTGCAGTGCACCCAATCCTTGCTGGCTGAGGCACAAAAACACAAACAGGAAACCAAATCCAAGTCACGTATGGTAGCGTAGATCGTTACCTCTTGGTTCCTGGGTCTAGACCAAATAACTTTTTAATTACTTGGCATTTTTTTTAAGCAAATCAGCTTTTAGCTTATGTTGTATTGTTTTTCTTACATTTTATATTAAACTATAAATTGACCGTATCCTATTACGCTATTTTCATTATTTATTTTTAGTTTCCTCCAGAGCTAGTGGAGAACGTCTTATTTTTAAAGAAAGAGCCTAATAAAGTATTTTCAATATTTGAGTTTAAGTTTTGATATTGAAGTTAAAGCCATGTCTGTGATATTTGTTCCTGATTTGTAATTTGGCATTCTACAATCTTAAGTATTTTAGCTGAAGGAAATTTCAAAGAATAAGTAGGAAATGAAACCGCTTATATTTCAGATTAAATCATATTCAGAATCCTTGTTTCAAAGCTATCCTCAAGCAAACTATTTCACTATTATAGTAACTTGGTGTGATAGAAAGCATATTCTGAATGGGGTTAATAGGCTTTAATGAAATGTTGGGGTTAAAACTTCTTAAGACCAAGATTTCAAAATGTGGCCTCTATCTGTGGGTATGCAGTCCTTTGAGCGTGCACTTCCATTTGCTGCAGTAGCATACACATGCTCAAACTTCCTGCATGTGCAGATGGGTTACGAGCATATGAAGTCTATTGTGTGTGCCCAAAAAGTTGCATGCACATAAATGGAGGCTGGTTTGAAGCCCCTATGAAAAAAATTGCCCTAACAAAGAATCTTACAATAAAGACAGAATAATTATGTATTGGTGTGCAGCATGGTTCAGCCTAAAATATATAATAATATGATTGAAATCTTTGGGTGGTATTTGAAGCAATAGATTATAAGCATAAAGTTTTGTAAAAGCTATGATAGTGTTCTATCAAAGCAGGCTAGCAACTGACCACTTAATTATATATAGTTACTCAAAGCCCTTGCACAATGGCAATCATTGAATGCCAAACTTGTTTGAAAGTCTTGCTCTGTCTTCAGTTAACCAACTGGCAGGGTTCTAATAAATAACAGACTGGGATGTGGTTATCCACTTAATGAAGATAGATTAAAAAATTTCGATTTCAAAGCTAGTCCAAAAAAGATGTCAAGCAGTATACTCATCTGGCACTTCAGTATGCTTTTGTAGCAGAGTTCCCTTTCAGGATAACACAAAATATATTTCTCTTTAGGGTTGGGAGTTGTTAACTTGGAAGCATCAGCTCACCATTTTGTAATGCTAATGCTGGTTTTGTGATCTTGTATTATCACTGTAACCCCACACTGAAAATATTTTGTACCCTTCGATTACAAATAATTGCTTTTTGTTCCAGCTTCTTATCTAAAGATAAGATTCAGTATATACTTATAGTAGGTTCTGTCAAGCTGCTACTACACACCATATTTTGTTATCCTATGGTTGCATGGTGTCACGGTTCTACCTGTAAGCTGTTGATGTTGGCAGTGCTTCAGAAGTCTCCTTCCCCATTCCACACCAAGGCATTAGGTACCTTTACTATCTTTAATATAATATGTTCACCTGCCTTGGATTTCTTCAGGCTTGTTAATGGTGTTTGAGCATAAGAATTTTATTGTACACCTCTACCTTGATATAACGCTGTCCTCAGGAGTCAAAAAATCTTACCGCGTTATATTGAACATGCTTTGATTCACCGGAGTGCGCAGTCCTGCCCCTCCCCCGGAGCACTGCTTTACCGCGTTCTATCCGAATTTGTGTTGGATCGGGTCGCGTTATATCGAGGTAGCGGTGTAAATCTGACAAGTGTCCAGACATTGAACAGCATATTAAAAAAACAAATATCTGTGAAAGATCAATAACCTCTCTCATGCAGAAGATCCGTTCAGGGACCTGCAAACAGATTCACACCCTCTAAATTATCACTTCAGTGTCCTTGCACATAAAAGTATAGGTTTAAACTCCATTATCTCCTCTCTGAGAATAACTGGCTTAACTACACCTATAAAATATGCATTACTTGAAAAGAAGATATTTGACTATAGAATTGTAGTAATCGTCTTACAATAGACTCCCCAATCAGGATCCAATGACGCCATATAGCCATATCTCTTCTTAGCAAATCTTTAAAAACTTGAGAAATGTCCAAGGAAAAGCCCCTCTTTTTGGCCAGCGTTTGTTTTTTTCCAAATAAAGTTTGGCATATGGTAAATTTGATCATTGGCAAGATAGACTAAGATTTATACATCATCTTCTCTAACAAGCCAGTCCTATATCCTTCCTCCTCTGACTAAATCTTGATGCCTCGTAACTCTTCTTCCTTTTACTTTTTTAAATCTACACAAGTGAAATTTCTCTATAGCTCTACCCGCTTGAATGAGATATCAGTGTAGGTTTTTTTCCCTTTGTGCAATTAAGTCTTCTGATTCTGAATCACCCACTGTTAGACTTAACTTGACCATTTCCATGCCTTCATTATCAGATTATCTAAAAATAGTTTCATAAACATTAGCTGCCACAAAGTGTCTTGCTAGTATCATGCCTGTTTAAAATGTGTCAGAATGCTGAGAGCTAAATTCTTTTGATCCCAGATCCCAACTTGATTGTTCACTTGAAATTATCTGGAAGCTGAAATATAGTTACATGAGTAAACATCTCCCTGGATCAGAGACATCCATGTAGTTGAGTGTTTGGCTTGGTGCGGTTTCATCTCTGGCAGAGCTACGTAGCTTTCCTGCAAATTCTACTGTATCAGTGCATCTCATCAAGCCATCAGCCTTCAGGCTTGTCTACAGTTAAATTTATAGCACTCTAACTTGCTGGCTCAGGGGTGTGGAAAAATCACCCCCCTGAGCGCAGCAAGTTTGAGCGCTTTAAAGCGCTAGTGTGGACAGGCTCCGAGCGCTGGGAGAGCTCTCTCCCAGCACTCGCACATGACCACATTCACACTTCAAAGTGCTGCCGTGGGAGCACTCCCACGGCAGCGCTTTGAAGTTTCTAGTGTAGATGTAGCCTTCATATGTGCTGCACAGTGTTCAGCTGAAGTTACTTACATTTTTTGTCCCTAAATAACTTTTAAGTCTGTTCTTTCGGAGGTACTGAGCATCACTGGTTCTAGTTGACTTTCTAAAAACACTCTCTTCTCTGAAGTAGGAGCTCAGAAGCTCAGCACTTCTAAGGTCTCAACTTTTTAAATGACTGAAATGCACTCTTGAAAATTTAGCCTCTGATATTCTCAAAGGGAATGGATTTTTTTGAGGTATGATTTGAGTAATGGATGAAAGTAACATTATCCTCTCTGTAGCACACGCATGTCTTTCAGTAATGATCCTATGCATCTTTTCGAAACTGACAAAGTGGAAACATTTCAGCTCTTTCTTCAGACTGTGGACAAGACTTAGTTGTTTTTCAAATGAAGTGCAAAAGTGTAGCAACTATTGGCTGATGTGTCTAAGATCAAGCTGGGAGCTTGATAAGCATGCTTCTAAATTTTGGGGGGGCAAAATCCCACAAAACTACAATGAATTGAACTCTTTAGTCCCAAATATGTGCTTAGAAACTGCTTCTCTGATGTATGTGGCTTTACAGTACCATGTTTTTGTGCACCTGCTGAGATCCTCCTACTAAGCCTCTAAATGGACATGCTCTGCTAGTGTACTTACTTTAACAAAAGGCAGAAACATTCCTGTTTTTTTTTTTTTCTAGAGGCAAAATTATTGAAAATCCTCTGGAAGCTAGGAATCGGAGTTCTCTTGGGAGTTAACAGTTTTTGCTACCAAGAAGTTTAAAATTCTTGAGCTATTTGTTGAAGCTTATTAGAGAAACCACATCTTGTATTAATAGTTTATTTATTTGTTTTGCCTATCTTTAAACTTTAAATTGATGCAGCCCTTAACTTCCAGTGAAATCAGTAGTATTTTTTGCTTGAAGTGCTACAGGGTCTGGTCCTTAATGTTTTTGATGGGGGCATTCTCTGCAAAATAAACCCTTTATGTGACTATATGTAATACGAATATAACATTCCTACAAGCACATGTGATGGGAGTGTTTCTCCTCCTTTAAGATGGTGTAGTTGGAAAATATGATGATCACTATAGTGTTCTGGAAACATCATTCTTTAAATTGATCAGGAGACTGGGCATTCATTGTTCACTGGCCAGTTCTCATCAGGGAGCCATCTCCTTCGTAGATAGTAAAGCCTTCAATTTAGTTGCTGAAAATAAAATCATTCAAGGTGAATATCTTGCATGATTTAAAAGCTAGCCTCGACAGGCTCTTCATGAAGATGTTAAATCTAAACTATTCCGTATTTAATATTACTGGAGACAAAAAAGAAGATTTATCAGTGATGTTTGGATGACTTCTCTCCTTGTGGAAGTGTCTCTAGTATTTATTGAGAATGAGGTTTTATATTTTTGGTGTGTTGACTACTTTGGGAATTGCAGATTTACAGGAGATGCTGTCTGAACTCCATCGCCTGTCACTCCTCCTTTAGTGAGCCTTGCTTATAAATAGCAATAACTAAATAAAAGTAAAAATTCAAAGCAAATTTTTTTTAAAGGGCAAGAATTTGGATTATTCAAAGACCTACTGTTACTAGCACCATCCCAGACCACATCTTATTTGTTCAAATAATTTCAGGTTAAACCACGAGGAGTCCTTGTGGCACCTTAGAGACTAACAAATTTACTTGGGCAAAAGCTTTTGTGGGCTAAAACCCACTTCATCAGCTGCATGGAGTGAAAAATACGGTAAGCAGTATTATATATGAAAAGATGGGAGTTGCCTTACCAAGTGTGTGTGGGGGGAAATCAGTGCTAAGGAGACCAATTCAATTAGGGTTGAAGTGGCCTATTCTCCACAGCTGATTACTTTTGTAGTGCTAATGAGGCAATGCAATCATGGTGGACGTGGCCCACCTCCAACAGTTGACTAGAAGGTGAGAGTATCAGCAAAGGGAAAATTTACTTTTTGTAGTGACCCATCCACTCCCAGTTACTCACTTGAGGATCCTGGAAGCTTCCAAAAATTGATCAAGTTTATTAGTCATCCCAACACCACAGAGATAAGAACTAAATGTCTAGATTGATTTTTGCACTCTTCTAGTAGTCTGAGTTCACAAATAATATTCTCTTCATGCATTCTTATGGAGCTACAGTCAGTCACTTAATAGAAGAACCATGTGTCCAGAACCAAACTACGTAAAAGATGACTATAAAATTCTACAAAGAAAACTGACAAGATGAATGTTCATTTTACATTCCCAGCTGTACGTTTTATTAGACAACAAAAAACTTGTTGCGTGTAGAAATGAGATGTTGGCATGTGGATGTTTGAGGCAAAAATAAAATATGGCTTCTAGGATAAAAGATCTATAAGCTGTCAGTTCTTTCTGGCCAAAGAATGTGACAGCAGATGCCTTGTCAAGTGGCTCCAACTTGTGGGAGGAAGCAAGTTTGAAACAACGTTTTTCGGTTTCTTGTGTAAGAATCCATGTGCCAAATCGTACTGGCCTATAATTTCAGAAAAATGCCTTCTGATTCTCTGGAGCGTTGAGAAATAAATGCAGATCTTCTTCCTGGTAATACAGCTGGAACCAAAGATGCCGAACTTGGTTATACATTTTTGACCTTCCTGAAGTTTATCCAGGCAGTGTCATAGAAAGGAAATCCTGTAGAGGGTGTTCGGAAGAAAACTTCTAGATAGATTTGAAGCCAGAGTCTATCTTAACCTGAAATCCTTACTGGCAGCAGAAGTTTTTCTGAGACCCTAACTGATGGTCCCATACTGTAATGTACATTGTAGGGCTGTACCTCCTGGGTTTGACTGTGGTTTAGGGCCAGATTTTCAAGAGATCAATGTAGGTGCCTAAATGAAGTGGGCAGATTTTTCAAAAATTCTCCATCTGACAACAATAACAGTTGCTAAATGCTGAAGGCTTCTGGAAATCTTGCTCGTAATGTTGACAACCTTTAGTGTGAGCATAACTATTTAAAATTGGATCAAATTTTTAAGACTGATGGTTGGCTTTTTCTTTTCACTTCCACTGGTAGTGATCCAGTGGAAATAGGGGAGGTGACATGAGTGGCTGCCATGTGCCCCTCTTCCTCACCTGCGGGTTTCTCTACATGAGGCGTATGATCTAACCTCTAAAGATTACAACAGAATTTGTTGAAACTACTCTAATTCCAGGACACTTACAAGATTTGGCATTCTTCCAAAAGGAACAATTGTTGACTTTCCCCTTATGTTATCTAAGAATTTGGGGTTGGCCATATTATAATCCCCAAAATTGGTCTTCACTTTTGTGGTAAAGAAATCCATTACCTCTGAATCTATTCAAAGGTATTTTTATTTTGTCTTTAGATGTGATTTAATTTTTCTTTGCTTCATTCCTGTTACCCTTCTTTGCATAGGTACTGTAATTTTTCAGATGTTGGAAAATAAGCCACTCTTCTCTCTAGCCTTACTTTTCCTTTCTAGTAATTCCATCCAGTTATTGCTCTTGAACATATTTTAACCCTTTACTTGAGTAGTCAGTGAAGATGGGTTCACTTCTACTTTCGTGTCTTGTTTTGTTACTCGGTTATTATTTGTATTTTCCATGAAGCTATACTGTACCTTAAACCTATTATGTTTTCTTGACATCTTGCACTATGCTGCAAGGGATTCAGGTTGTAAGGGGTGACAGATCTTTTTCTTCTTCTTGAAGCATCTGCCATAGCAGCAAATATTTGTAAACAAAATGGTAATTCATTAGTACTGCCTTGCAAAACTGCTGTGAAAACATAGCAGCCAAGACACATACATCTACATCCTCCTGGGATGATGTAGGAAGTGTTACTCCTTTGCCAAAAACATTACTCACCTAGGATGGGCAAAGTTTTGCAAGACTTTGTTAATAAGACTTACAAATGATTAACTTTAGTATTCTTGAATACAGGGTAATGAGGCTGACAGATACTGTGTGTGTGGCACACCGTGTGCTCATGGAGTACAGTGATGGAAACGGTACAAAGACCTATATAGAATGTGTATAATACATTGTCAAATGTGTTTTATTCTTCTTCAGGATGAAGAAATCATTCCACATGTCTTAAGGGGTTTTTTTTTTTAGTTTAAATAAAAAAGGAAAGCATTTAAATTCCTGTGATTAGGGCACAAAAGTAAAAAATCTTGATTAAGCATATAATTCTTGCAGTATAAGTGTTTTGTCTATAAACATTAATTTTTCCCATTTATCTTTGTACCAGCAATTCTGGTCCTTCTTAAGAATGTTCTGCCTTTAAAAACTATGTTGGGGGTTAACCTGGTGTAAGGGTTAAAAGGTCTGTGCCTTCTTACTTAACATCCATTACTAAAACAAAATATAAGCTCAAAGTTACAAAAGCATTTGTAGTACTGTAAAGTGCACAAATTTACAACCATTGCTTCACTGCATGAAATATAGTCTGATTACTAGTGATGAAATATTGTAAGAATGAATTGCCAAGCTTATGAATGTTTTGAGACTTGATTTTTTTTTTATGGTCTTCTCTTGGGCTGGTCCTGAGAGTGTACACAGTAAGTCTGTATTGTTGGTTTGTAGATGCTAATGAAGAAAGCTAGACTTCTGATCTCTCTTTTTAATTTGTATTGTTATAGTACGTACTCTGCAAATGAGTTGGCATATTGTAAACTGCTTTGTTTCAGCTTAATCATTCATAATAAACTTTTATAATAACATGCAAAATCACTACCAATGTGATGTATTGTGCAAAAAAGGTGTAAACATTTTATTAATAAAATGTTTTTATAAATGTGCTGGCTTGGTTTCAACAATTTCCCTATCTAAGTTCTCAAAAATATTGTTACATCTCAGTATGTACAGCATAGTGTGTAGGAAGAAGGTTGTAGGAAATACCCCAAGGAAAATGTGAGTACAGGTAATACTTCAAACATATAATTTTTAAAAACAATGCTACACCTACCATCATCCATCTAAAAGTTGAATCTTTGTTGCAGATGCACACACTAGGCAACACAAGACAAAGTTGCACAAAAGGAGAGAGTGAGTAATAACAAAGACAGGAAATGCAGCATCTGTCTTTAATGCTTCCTTTCACTTGCAACCTAGCCTCTGAGGAAAATATAGACCATCAGAGTTTCATCAGCCACTCCAAGACCTGGCAAACATTTACTAGTCTCAGGCTGTTTAATGCATTGCTTTTAGCTTGCTTTTCTAGTTGCAGGCTCACAGAAGTGTTACACAAGCTGGTATTATTTTGATTGGGTAAACCAGAACTTTTGTTAAACTGCAGTTTTTTTTTTTAAAAAACAATGGTTTTGTATCATGTCTTTTAAAAAAAAAGGGGGGGGGGCATTTATTAGTCAAATGTTACCTAATGAAACTATATATTTATGCCCAGGTCTTCAGTGTCTGTACAAGAACATAGATTAAACCTGTCAATTCAACATAACATACAGTAGGCTCTAGCCAGATCAAACTTGTCTTTGCAGCTGTGGAATCTGCAATAGCTCTTATTGGTTATGTTCATAAGCTAGGAAGACACTTCCCTTTTCAGCCTACTCCTTCCCCTGACCACACAGACCCCCTCCTGGGTCTGTGTAAAATGGATTTTGGCATTGTCAATTTAAACCAAAATCTCAGGAATGGAGATTCATGTTATTCATATATGGTTTGGGTTTTTGAGTATAAGGCTGAGGGGCTAAACTTTGCTTTATAGAAACAAAATACATCTGCAGTTGTGTACACAGAACAAATCTGTAATCATGTGACTAACTTGAATGTTCAGTCACTGCAGTTTTGCACACAACTAGCTAATTGTGGTCATAGGTGCATGCAGTTCCGGGCGTGCTTGTGGCATGGTAGTTAGGTGAGCAATTGCATACACATTTTGCATGTGTAACTTGCTTTAAAAATAGGGTGACCAGATCACCCAAGTCAAATATCGGGACGCGGGGGGGGGGGGGGCGTGGCCAAAAAAAAACACAACCCTTCCTCCGCAAGCGCTGGAGGGAGGCCCGGGAGACTCGGGGGAAGTGCGGGGCCGGGGTGAGTAAGAGTCCGGCCTGGCCCCGAGCAGGCAGGACTCAGTTAGGTAGTAGGGAGAGGAGGGGGGGCGGCCCGCGGGGCCAGGCGGCGGCTGTTGTTCTCCCCCCCTGGGCAGCGGGACTCGGGAGCAGCCGCTGCTGCAGCTCCCGCTGCCGCGGGGGAGGAAGCGGCCATGGCGCTTGGCGGCCATCACTGGAGGTTTTAAAGACCAGGTTGGACAAACCCCTGTCAGGGATG